TACCAGTGGTAGTAACAGCAGCAGTACTAATAGTAGTAGCAGTGCTGATAGTACCAGTGGTAGTAACAGCAGCAGTACTAATAGTAGTAGCAGTGATAGCAGCAGCAGCAGTACTAACAGTGCTAGTGGTAGTAGCAACAGCAGTACTAATAGTAGTACCGGTGACAGTAGAAGGAGCAGCACTAACAGTAGCACTAGTGGTAGTAGTAGTAACAGTAAGAAGATTGAAGAAAAATTGACGCCTTTGAATTATGGCATCAGTGAAGAATATTGAATATACCATTTTCAGCCACAGACACGGGTTGTCCGACCTCTTGATTTCAGCGGTGCTTTCTCTTGGCTGCAGGAAAACATCCTTTGAAGATCGTTTATTGGAAAAATGGAGGTAGAGAAGCTGGAAGAAACCTAAAACACCACAGCGGAGTGTTTTCATTTTTTCCGTAAAGCCTGTTTCATGAGTGTGCCCCTTTAACAGAACTTGAAAGCAAATGCAATCTGGGTTTCAGATAAAGCCCTTGCACTGGCCTTCAAGCTGAGCTCTGCTTTCTGGAGGAGGATTTCTTCTGGTGGAATATTTGCCTCACATTTCCCTGATAACCTTGGACTGTGTTCCGAGTTCAGTGTGCCAAAAAACAAAAAACAAACCGTTTAAGGACTTTATTTCTCCTAATTTGGCCCTGGTGGTGTGTGGGGATATGTGCCATTGAAATATGGCTACACCAGTGACAACTTCAGCCCCTCAAAGGCCCATATGCTGCACACAGCATGTCAAGACTTGTCAGCAACATGTTGAGACTTGTCACAACTTGTTTTTCCAAAACCTATTGTCCCGTTACTGATTGGCTTGTTTACCTGCAGTCCATTCTCCCTTGCCCGAAACTTATTGTTATTCACCCAAAGCCCATTGTTCTAGGATTTGCTTCACTACTTGCTGTATTGACTATAAATAAACTCCAGGGACTGAAGCCGGGGGTCTGCTCTTCGGAGTGACCCTCCTTGGCCCCACTTCTCTGTAAGAGTTGTGTGGTTGGCTACTGTCGCCGTTCCAACAGTGGTGCAGTGGTTAAGAGCTCGGCTGCTACCCAAAAGGTCAGCAGTTTGAATCCACCAGCCGCTCCTTGGAAATTCTCTGGGGCAGTTCTACTCTGTCTTATAGAGTCGCTATGAGTTGAAATCAACTTAATAGCAACAGTTTTTTTTTTTTTTTTTTAATGAGTACACTTATATCCCATGTGCAAAGAGAAGACCTCTGATTTTAATTTTCCAAGTAGATTCCCCACCACCCCGCCCAGGGAGAAAATGCAGTGGCTAAGGGTATTTACTTAAACTTCAGTTATATGTTTTAATGTTTATATATTCATATTTGAATAGGGCGATACAGTTGTGTTATCTAAGAACATCATATTATTGTACACCTTTTGCTGAGGCAGTGGTGGCTCAGGGGTAGAATCTTCACCTTCCATGCAGGAGACCAGGGTTCAGTTCCCGGCCAGCGCACCTCATGCGCAGCCACCACCCATCTGTCAGTGGAGGCTTGTGTGTTGCTGTGATGCTGAACAGGTTTTAGCGACACTACTAGACTAAGACAGACTAGGAAGAAAGGCCTGGCCGTCTCCTTCCGAAAATCAGCCCATGAAAACGCTATGGGTGACAACAGTCCAGCTGGCACCTGATCATTGCAATGGGCACAGGACCGGGCAGTATTCCGTCCTGTTGTGTGTGGGGTGCCCCGTGCGTCGGGGGCTGACTCGATGGCAGCTAATAACACCTCTGGCTAACTACACTTTCAAGAAGTGACTTAAAAATGGCTCTCCCAACCTCCACGTTGTCTTCTGCGCTTTCTCTTTTCAATCACTAATTATTGGAGCTCTGGTGGCACAGTGGTTAACAGCTCGGTTGCTAACCAAAAGGTCGGCAATTCGAATCCACCAGTCACTCCTTGGAAACCCTGTGAGACAGCTCTACTCTGTCCTATACGGTTGCTATGGACACCAACAGGTTTAGGCTGCCAGGAAGGAGCCCTGGTGGCATAGCAGTTAAGCACTTAGCTGCTAACCCAAAGGTCGAAGGTTCAAACCCACCAGTGGCTCCGAGGGAGAAAGACCTGGCGATCTGCTTCCGTAAAGATTAAAGCCTTGGAAGCCCTGTGGGACAGTTCTCCTCTGTCACATGGGGTCGCCGTGAGTCGGAATTGACTCCACGGCAAGGGGTTTCTTTTTTTTTTAGGCTTCCAGGAAGCCTGTTGCTGCATAAAAACAGCCATTGTCCTTATTAAAAGCACATGCATTCTAGAGGAGACGCCCTGTCCTCCTTGCAGGCAGGAGGGTGTTTATCTCTCACGCCTTCCCCTTCACAGCCTCCTCTCTCCCCACTTCTGTCTTATCTCACCTCTCTCCTTCCTTTTCCATCGAGATCCCTGTTCTTCAAAGCACTTTAACTTCAAAGAACTGGAACTGGGGTTTCTGCCAGCACTTAACCTTCAATAGGAAAGAGAATCTTAAATGTGAATTCACCAACAATCTCCTTCTCTCTCTTTCCAGTTGTTTTTTCCCAGCATTCTTTCATGAAACCATATTTAATGGAAAACATCGAAGAGTTGTTGAAATAATTTGTGTTATTACTGTTTTCCGTGGAACTCTGGCTCAGTAAATTTCCTTGGAATTGCAGTTGTTGTTAGCTGATGTCTTTGTGGCCACAATTCACGCCAACCCCATGCGCAACGGAATGAAATGCTGCCCAGCCCTGTGCCATCCCCATGATCGGTTGTGGATGGGACCCTTGCGATCCATGGGGTTTTCATGGGCTGATGTTTGGAAGTAGATTGCCAGACCTTTCTTCCTAGTCCCTCTTTGTCTGGAAGCTCCGCTGAAGCCTGTTCAGCATCATGTCGTTGTCGTTAGGTGCCGCCGAGTCGGTTCTGACTCCCGGCGACCGTATGTGCAGTAACAGAACGAAACACGGCCCGGTCCCGTGCCATCCTCACCGTCGTTGCTCTGCTTGAGCCCGTTGTTGCAGCCACTGTGTCAGTCCATCTCGTCGAGGGTCTTCCTCTTTTTCGCTGACCCGCTGCTTTACCAAGCCTGATGTCCTTCTCCAGGGACTGATCCCTCCTGATAACATGTCCAAACTACGTAAGACAAAGTCTCACCGTCCTCAATTCTAAGAAGCATTCTGGCTGTATGTAACTGGTTTTATGTCTGTAGAGAACTAATATCTTTTATGGGCAGGAGGAAGTCTGTAAACGGTTAAGCTGTTGATTACTAACTGAAAGATTGGAGGTTCGAGTCCACCCAGAGGCACCTCGGAAGAAATACCTGGTGATCTACTTCTGAAAAATTAGCGATGGAGATCCCCATGGAGCACAGTTCTACTCTGACACACATGGGAGCGCCATGAGTTGGAATCAGCTCAACGGGAGGGGGTTTGGTTCTGGCTTTTCTGTGCGTGGCCCCCCAGCGTGCAATTGTTACCCTCACAGGTTCTGGACGTACCACGACGAACGTTTCCTGTACATGCTGATGGAGTTCGTGCCGGGCGGGGAGCTGTTCAGCTACCTGCGGAACCGAGGGCGCTTCAGCAGCAACACAGGGCTCTTTTACTCCGCGGAGATCGTGTGCGCCATCGAGTACCTGCACTCGAAGGAGATCGTGTACCGCGACCTGAAGCCCGAGAACATCCTACTGGATAAGGAGGGCCACATCAAGCTCACCGACTTCGGCTTCGCCAAGAAGCTGGTGGACAGGTAAGAGAGACCATCATGTGGTTGGGCTGATGGGACAATGTAGGAAAGCCGTCGAAGCCGAGCCATGTAAGAGAGGGAGTGGTTTTCAACACGTCACCCTCGTGCCCATAAAAACAGGAGATGTAGGAAAAAGGAAACATAGTGATGATTCCTGGTGGTCAAGCTGGTTGTTGCTGGGTGCCTTTGAGTCAATTTTCCACTCATGGCGACTCCATGTGACCGAGGAAAACTGCCCCATAGCGTTTCCTAGGCTGCGATTTTACAGATAGCCAGGTCTTTCTCCTGCAGAGCGGTTGGTGGGTTTGAACTGCCAACTTTTGGGTTAGCAACTGAGTCAGTTCTAACTCATAGCAACCCTTTGTACAATAGAATGGAACACTGCCCAGTCCTGCACCATCCTCACAATCGGTGTTATGCCTGAGCCCATTGTTGCAGCCACTGTGTCAGTCCATCTCATTGAGGGTCTTGCTCTTTTTTGCTGACCCTCTGCTTTCCCAAGCATGCTGTCCTTCTCCAGGGACTGGCCCCTCCTGATCACATGTCCAAAGTATGGGAGACAAAGTCTCACTGTCCTCATTCAGCATCACAGCGACAGAGAAACCTCCACTGAGAGACAGGTGGTGGCTGTGTGTGAGGTGCATTGGCCGGGAATCGAACCCGGGTCTCCCACATGGAAGATTAGAATTCTACCGCTGAGTCACCAGTGCCCCCTAAAATTGGGGGTGCAAATCAAAAGAATTGAAGAGTTTTCTGAGAAAGGAAGAGCACAAAAATCTAGGAATTAGGACAATTGCATGAACCCTGTCTTCAAAATGAACAAATACAAATCAGACAAGTAAATACAGTGTTATTTGAAATGGAAACAGTGTTGATTACTGTTAAATATGTTAGAGCTTGGACCATGAATAAGGAAGCCTGGTGCAGTGGTTATGCGCTCGGCTGCCAACTGAAGGGTGGGCGATTTGAACCCACTGGCCACTCCACAGGGGAAAGACGTGGCCATCTGCTTCCGTAAAGATTACAGTCTTAGAAACCCTATGGGGCAGTTCTACTCTGTCCTATAGGGTCGCTATGAGTCAGAATTGACTTGATGGCAATAGGTAAGGGGACTGGTGAGGTCTAGCTGTTTAGTGTTAACCAAATATATAGAAGAATTTAATTTTTGCAAAACACAAAACAGATTTTGCCAAGAACTGTTTTCTTCAAGTTCTCTTGAAATTTTACACTGACAAGAATACTTAATCCATATGTTTTTACAAAATTCATAATTAGCTCATCAAAATATTGTTTTACAGGCATCTTTGATGTCTAAGAAACATTAAATCTCTGTTTTTTATGAATAGAAAATATTACATTTTCCAGAAATAATTAACTTAGCACACATAGTATTTGGATTTTTTTTTTTTAAAGACACAAGGCGTCTAAGAAATTAGCTTTGATTTTTTTCTTGATTATATTATTTCTTGATTATATTTTTACTATTTATGACTCAACTGCTAAAGAAATTGTATAAAGTTCCTATTAAATTAGAATTTATGGTCCATATTTTCATATGCCCTATTAAATTTCCAGTACTCTGAAATGGAACACATCCATTATTACCTTGAACCAGATCTGCCATTTGTAATTTATGAGTATCAACCCTGGGTGGTGCTTCATTAAAAAACCACCTACATGAGACCAAATGGTCACCAATTACTCAAAAGCAAAGATGATAAAATCAGGGGGCAGGGAAACTAGAGTACTGGAAATGTAACAACCAGAACGCACTTAAAGAGAGTGTTGACACCTTGAGAAAAATGTAACTCAGGCCACCAAACAATTTGTGTAGAAATTGTCAAATGGGAACCTAATTTGTTGTGCAGACTTTCACTGAAAACACAATAAAATATTGTTTTAAAAAATAAAGATGTGAGAGACTCCTAGCCCCTGTACCCATAAATATGATCCTGCTTGGACAGCAGGGTTTTCTTTGTTATGTTAATGAGGTCGTACTAGTGTAGAATGGGTCCTAAACCCGCTGGCTGCTGAGCTATACAAGGAGCAGAATAGACACAGAGGCAAAAGACAGATGCCAAGGACCACGCCAAAATGCCAAGGAACGCCAAGGAACTCTTGGTACCACCTACAAAAAATGTCTTAGTTACCTACTGCTGCTATAACAGAAATGCCGCAAGTGGATGGTGTCTCAGTCACCTAGTGCTACTGTAACAGAAATACCACAAGTGGATGGTGTCTCAGTCATCTAGTGCTGCTGTAACAGAAAAACCACAAGTGGAGGGTGCCTCAGTCACCTAGTGCTGCTGTAACAGAACTACCACAAGTGGAGGGTGTCTTAGTCACCTAGTGCTGCTATAACAGAAATACCACAAGTGGATGGTGTCTCAGTCATCTAGTGCTGCTGTAACAGAAAGACCACAAGTGGATGGTGTCTCAGTCACCTAGTGCTGCTACAACAGAAACACCACAAGTGGAGGGTGTCTCAGTCACCTAG